TAGCAGGTCGGGGCTGCGGTGGCTGGGAGCGGCCACTGCACTCCAGTCTGGGCGACAGAGTGAGACTTCAACTCAAAAAAACAAAACAAAACAAAAAATGAAAAAATGAAACATTTAAGTGTTAAATTCCAGACACCAGACTGTACCCCTAAATATTTCAACATGTATCGCCAAAGAACAAGGTTCTCCTACATAGCCATATTACAATGATGATGATTCAGAAGTTTAGCACTGGTATAATATTATTAAATATACACTCTGTATCCAAATTTTTCTTATTTCAATATATTTTATATCTACTTCCCCCCTTTAGACTTAAGTATTCAATCAAGGATTATTCATAGCATATGAGTAATATCATCATCATGTCTCTTTAGTCTCCCGTAAGTCTCCTTCAGTCTGTAACAGTTTCTCAACATTTTTGTTTTCTTTCACAGCACTGACAGTTTAGGAGAGTCTAGTTCAATTATTTTTTCAGACTAATCTTCAACTTGAGTTTGTCTAATTGTTGCCTTATGATTAAATTCAGGTTCAATACTTTTGGCAGGCAGATTAAAATAGATGTTTTCTTCTTGATACATTCTATCGGGAGGCACAAGGTATCAGTTTTTCTCATTATTGGTGATATTAAATTTGAACACTTGGGCAAGGTGGTGTCTGCCATATTCTTCACTTAAAAAGTTCCATTTTCCCTTTTGTGTTTAATAAATTTGAGGCTATGTTTCCCCACAACCTTTCTTGCCTGAATCAATTATTCCAAAGGTGGTTGCAAAGTGATGATTTCTAATACCATCAGTACTTCTATATTTATTAATGTATTGATGTTCTTCTATAAAGTAGAGTTTTCCCTCCTGTCTATTATGATCACCTCACAGAAGCAGTTTGAATACCCCATCCAAAATTTAATTCTGATACTGAGATTGATACCAAAAACATACCACGAAGGCATGAAAATGTTTATTACTCAGGAGAGCAGGGCTGCCTCCCAAGTATATCTGAAAATGGCTTGAGAAAACAGGGAGTGGTAAGTGGCTTTGGGGTTTTATTGTGGTTAGAGAGTAGCATTGGAGTGAGGGTTCTTAGGTGTGGACTGGGACTTGCATGATGTGAACTTTCCGTCAGTGCCAAAGGGTGCAGTGGCTCAAACCGGTAATCCCAGCACTTTGGGAGACTGAGGTGAGGGGATTGCCTGAGCCCACGAGTTGAGACCAGTCTGGGCAACTTGGCAAGACCTCATCTCTACCATAAATTTAAAAAATTCACTGAGTGTGGTAGCGCACATCTGTAGTTCCAGCTACTTGGAAGGCAGAGGCAGAAGGATCACCTAAGCTCAGCAGGTTGATACTGATTGGCCACGAACAAGCCACTACACTCCAGTCTGGGCACTGGAATGAGACTCCAACTCAAAAAAAAAAAAAAAAAGAAAAAAAAAGCTGTCAGCAATTAGACATTAAATATAGGGGCAACTAGCCAGGCACAGTGGCTCACACCTGGAATCCTAGCACTTTGGGAGGCAGAGGTGAGAGGACTGCCTAAACCCATGGGAATTTTTAAAATTTATTGTTCAAACCCACTGGGCAACTTGGTGAGACCTTATCTCTACAATTAAAAAAAAAAAAGTCAGGTGTGATGGCACAAACTACTTGGGAGGCTGAGGTGGAAGAACTGCCTGAGCCCGGCAGGTCAAGGTTGTGGTGGCTGTGAGGGTGCCACTGCACTCCAGTTTGGGTGACAGAGTGAGACTCTAAGAAAAAAAAAATAGGAGCAACTGTTATATGATCTCTGTAGATTCATCATTTTTTCCCTAAGAATGTGTTGTAATTCATTAATGTTGTTTGTTTGTCTGATACTTAAAAATTGCCCAAATTTGGCTAGTGGGAGTCTCTTCAAGCTGCCTCCTGTGTTCTTTTGACAGCAGAAGAGTTATACTGAATGCCGATCCATTTTTGTAATTTCATTTTGACCCTTAACCTACTTTGCCCCCTGGCCTAACTGCCTCTCCTCTGAAATTCCCACTCTCCTTGATGTTCTCTCAAGTGAAGAATGTTCACTCTGAGTCCTACATAGGAGTGTTCTGCTGGCTTCCATATTCAGAATGATTCTCTGTTCCTTGGTGGCTTGTCATAGTTAGGTTATAAGTTTGGCTGCATGGACTAGAAACCCAACATAACAGTACCTCAGCAAGATAGTTATTTCTCTCTTGTAAGTGACTGATCTTGTGGCTCTGCTCTGTGACATTGTCAGAGGTTCATACCCCTTCTAGCTTGTTCTGCCACCCTTCACATGTTGCCCTCATCTGTATGGTCCAGTTCTACAAGGAAGTCTACGTTCTAGTCTACAAGGAAGAAGAAAGAAAAGGGACCAAGAGGGACTCTCCTTCCTCCTTTAAGAGTGAAACCTGAAAGTTGCAGAATTACCTCTGCTCAATTCTTGTTGGTTTAGACAGTCATGTGACCATGTATAATTGTGGAGGAAGCTGGGAAGTGTACCCTTGTACCAGCTAAAAAATGAATGTTTTAATGCTATGAGAGTGAGGAGGATACTGAATGTGTTCCCCCCAAATGGATATGTTGAAACTTAGTTGTCAGTGTGATAGTATTAACAGGTGTGGCCTTTAGGAGGTGATGAAATCATGAGAGCAGAACCCCCATCAGTGGGATTAGTGCTCTTTTATTTATTTGTTTGTTTCTTTATTTTTGAGTTGGAGTCTCATTCTGTTGCCCAGGCCAGAGTGCAGTGGCATGCTCAAGCCCACCGCAACCTTGACCTGCTGGGCTCAGGCGATCCTTCCGTCTCAGCCTTCCAAGTAGCTGGAACCACAAGTGTGTGCTACCACACCCAGCTCATTTTTTGATTTATTGTAGAGATGAAGCCTTGCCAAGTTGCCTAGGCTGGTCTCGAAACTGTGGGCTCAGGCAGTCCACTCACCTCGGCCTCCCAAAGTGCTGGGATCATAGGTATGAGCCACCGTGTCCAGTGGATTAGTACTCTTGTAAAAAAATTTTGAAACCAGGCGCAGTGGCTCACACCTGTAATCCCAGCACTTTGGGAGGCTGAACCGGGAGGATTGCCTGAGCCAAGGGGTTCAAGCTCAGTCTGGGCAACTTGGCGAGACCTTGGCTCTACAATAAATCAAGAAAAATTAGCTGGGCTTGGTGGCACACGCCTGTAGTTCCAGGTTCTTGGAAGGCTGAGACGGAAGGACCGTCTGAACTCAGCAGATTGAGGCTGCGGTGGCCACGAGCATACCACTGCGCTCTAGCCTGGGTGACAGAATGAGACTCTGACTAAAAAAAAGTTCAAAAGAAGCTATTATTCCTTCTGCCATGATGTCTGTCCCTTCTGTCATGAGAGAATGCAGCATCATTAGCAGACACTGAATCTGCTAGTGCCTTGATCTTGGAATTCCTAGCTTCCAGAACTGTCAGAAATAAATGTCTGTTGATTGTAAATTATGCAATCTAAAGTCTTTTGTTATAGCAGCCCAACTGGACTAAGGCAGGGAAAAATGGGTATTGGGGGACAGTCAGAAGCCATTATCATTCAGATTTTGTATCTTAAACTCAATAGGCCTTGTTTCCTTGGTTTAAATGCTCTGCTTGTGTCTAATTTGAGTGTCCAATGATTTAGCAGCCAGCTCACAAAAGTCCTAAAAATCAGACAGTTGATTCTCATTAGCTGTCGTAAGCTGACTCCTACACACCACTGCCTTCATTCCACTCACCCCCATTCTTTGACATTACTCAGATCCACTCTGAGATAGGAGCCAGCACACAGTGAATGACACCAGGAGCTCCTGAGTCAAATCTCCAGTCTTTTCAATTCTGTGAACCTACTCTCATGGAGAAACCCCAGAACAAAAATTGTACCGCTGAATTGGGCCACACTGAGGCAAGAGGGAATTTGGTGTTTTTATATTATGTCAGCCAGTCATGAGCTGAGGTCTGCCCTTGGTGGAGGTTGGAAATGTAGCCTATTTCGGTTTTTTAAGGCTTCTATTATAAAATACCTCAGACTAGGTACTTTATAAACAACAGAAATTCATTTCTCATGGTTCTGGAGCCTGGGAAGTTCAAGGTGCCGGTAGATTTTGTGTCTGGTAAAGGGCCTGTTCCTCACAGAGGATACTTTCTCTGTGTCCTGACATGATGACAAAGCAGTGCCCTTTAACCTTTTTTATAAGGACACTGAATCCATTCAAGAGGGTGAAAGCCTTTTGATCTAATCACTTCATCAAATGCCCCGTCTCTTAATACTATCACATTGGGTATTAGGTTCTAACATATAAATTTGAAGAAACACCAATATTCAGACCACACCATTCCCCTTGTCCCCCCAAATTTATGCCCTTCTCACATGCAAAATACATTTATCCCATTCCAGTAGTCTCCAAAATCTTGGGGACTTGTTCCAGCACTAATTCAAAAGTCTAAATTCCAAAATCTCATCTAAAT